TGTTTCGTTTCACTACGATTTGGTAAATGTTCTTATAGATCCTTACTTAATTTCAATCTTGACGAACGTACTATTACATATTTTTACTATAAATCTCAGAGTAACGAGATGTTCGCTCTATTTATGGATGAGACGATGCAATACTCGTGTGCGGTATTCAAGGTGAGTAATTAAACTTCTAACGGGTTTCTCAACTAAAAGCCTTCTCTTATTCGAGTTTTTACGCTTTTGTAGTCAGATGATGAGGATCTGAGAACGGCACAAATGAGGAAAGTTTCTCTTCTGATTGATAAGGTAAGCAATATTGATAACGAAATACAAAAGATAACTTTGTGATATTACAACGCACGAATCGAGTGCTCTTCTCACCTTTATGTGATTACGGTAAAAACTTTCAGGCGAGAATTGAGAAGAACCACGAGGTTTTGGAGATCGGATGCGGTTGGGGATTCTTAGCTATAGAAGTTGTAAGAAGAACTGGATGCAAATACACAGGCATTACATTATCGGTCGAACAACTAAAATATGCAGAAGCAAAGGTTAAAGAAGCTGGGCTTCAGGTGCGTATATAACTGAGAAAATATATTTTTTTAAAACCCCAACGAGGAAAGAGACCAACCAACAAAGGGAACATCTCTAACTGAGAAAATACATATCTTGATTTCAGGATCGGATTACATTTGAACTCCGCGATTATCGCCAACTATCTGATTCGCGTAAATATGACAGAATTATAGTCTGGTAAGAAATATCATATCTCTGTTGTATAAGCCGATAGCTTAACTATGCTTAATGGAAAGATTATTAATGTTCCAGCGAGATGATAGAAGCGGTTGGACATGAATTCATGGAGACATTTTTCAACCACTGTGAAGTTATGCTTGCGGAAGATGGCTTACTTGTTCTCCAAGTAATTAGCTTCCTCATTCTCTCACTATTTCGTTCAGGATTCTTTTACTGATCTTAATAAATTTTCTTGCATTTGGACCTCAGTTCATGACGGTACCCGATTCACGTTACGACGAGATCAGATTGAGTTCGGGTTTCATTACAGAATATATCTTCCCTGGTGGATGCCTTCCTTCTTTAATCAGGGTAACATCTGCAATGACTTCTTCATCAAGGCTATGGTAAGTCTTCTTCTTTAACATACTATAAATAAATTTCATGCTTAATCATCTTTATCTGTATCTACGATATCGTGGAAACGTAGCATCGAACACGTTGAAAACATCGGAATCCATTATTACAAGACTCTGAGATGTTGGAGACAAAACTTCATGGAGAGACAAAAGTAAGAAAGATTGGATCTTTTCATTAATTGTTCGTTGGTTCTCTGTATCCAAACATATTCATTTGTTGCAAGTAATTAGTGTCCTCATTCTCTCACTATTTCCTTCAGGATTTTTTTTACCGATCTTAATGATTTTTTTTGCGTTTGGACCTCAGTTCATGACAGTACCCGATTCACATTACGACGAGATCAGATTGAGTTCGGGTTTCATTACAGAATATATCTTCCCCGGTGGATGCCTTCCTTCTTTAACCAGGGTAACATCTGCAATGACTTCTTCATCAAGGCTATGGTAAGTCTTCTTCTTTAACATACTATAAATAAATTTCATGCTTAATCATCTTTATCTGTATCTGCGATATCGTGGAAACGCAGCATTGAACACGTTGAAAACATCGGAATCCATTATTACAAGACTCTGAGATGTTGGAGACAAAACTTCATGGAGAGACAAGAGTAAGAAAGATTGGATCTTTTCATTGTTCGTTGGTTCTCTGTATCCGAACATATTCATTTGTTTCTAACACGAAAAAAAATCTGATATCCGCACAGACAAGTCAAAGCTCTCGGATTCGACGAGAAATTCATCAGAAAGTGGGAATATTACTTTGACTACTGCGCGGCTGGTTTTAAGACTCTTACAGTCGAAGACTACCAGGTAAAAAATTAACATTTCTGCGATATATAATTCGATCTCGGATAACATACTTCCGTGTTTCTGGGGTTGTAGGTGGTGTTTTCTCGTCCTGGAAACACAAATACGTTCGGAGACCCGTACATGAACTTCCCTTCGGCTCGTTGTTCCTACCCTTAAACCGAAACTATATGAACGTTTCGAATTCTTTATCATCAAAACATAAATCCTGGTTTATATAATTTGACGTATGAATAAGAGCTTTCATGACTGATTCTGCTATATTTAACGTGATGTTGTACAACATATTTCATGTTTTCGGGGGGTTTAGGTGGTGCTTCCTCGTCTTGGAAACACAGCTATGTTCGGAGATCCATACATGAGCTTCCCTTAAACCGAAAACTATATAAACGTTTCAATTTTTTTTTTAAATCATCAATACGGCGGTTTGTGTCTCTGTGTTTTTTCTGCAACTATAATTTAGTTAAGAATATATACCCTCATTCATTCATATTCACATTAATATTCTATTCAAATTTGATATTTTTAGTTAAGAATAAAATTTAAATTTTTTTATTAAAATTCACCTAGAAAATGTAAAATAATAACTATTTAAAAACAAAAATTAATCTCTGAAAAGGTATTTATTAAAAAACATAGTGGGTATATTTTATTAGTTTTTTTATAATATAAAATTATACTTTCCAAGTATATTGATATTTTATTATAAATTCTTCATAATTATATTTTCTAATTTATCTATTATTATTTTATAAATAAATAAATATCATTTTAAATAACAATATTTTATTAAAAATAATGATATTATAAATTTTAATTCTCTTTATTTATATATAATATTTCATGTAAACATACGTGGACGCGTCCAATTCCATCTCATTTTACACACTTTCTGCCAAACCCACTTAAAAATCCTTATTTGTGTTATCATATAATTATTATTTAATTATCCACACAAAGAAATTATTGGGATTTAAGCAACCATACACGTATAAAAAAAAGGGTAGATAGATAAGCAATGGCCTAATTAAATACTGCTACATTCATAATTAAATGTATCCATGTATCCGTTTAAGATTTGATAAACATGTCATAAAACAATTCAAAATTAACCAACTAGCACTATTATATTTATGCCAACGAACAACTAAATTTATGATAGTTTTTAAATACTTCTTGAAATTATATTTTTATAAATTATTATAGAGTTTTTGATCTTAATATTTAGGATTTATAAAAAAATATTTTTTATTTACACCCCAAAAATATTAGTTATAAGACAGAGCTAATCTATGTATTATTAGATTAAATTATCAATAAATAGCCCTACGCGGGAAAGAATATCTAGCTTGGGTATCCAAACCTTCTGTTTGATTGCCATATAACACAGGCTATTCTCCTTCATTTCATGTCGAAATGGGAACCTCCTCCGGTTAACACTTCTTGGCAGGATATCCTCAGTTGGTTATTGAGGATTTGGTCATGCAAGATACGACATCTCGGCGTTTGCATAACATGGCAATTGATCATCTACACTATTTGGACATAAAGGAACATGCGGATCCATACATCTACATTCAAGGACACTTTGGTTCTCCGAAAGGAGATAGATCGAGCATTTAGGAACAAAATGGCTGCAATACGACCATCCGACCCCGCACTTGCGAGCTCCCTATTACAAATCTGGTTCTCCAATCCATGACATTGTATTTTCTGATCTGTTTTATCAGAGGTTGCCTTTGGTTCTTATTAACCTTTCATTATTTTGGTTTTTTTGGGTTACAGCCTTCCATTTATTCTCTCCTGAAGTAGTCAAAAACTCTTGATGTACAAGTTCTTTTGTGAACATTAATACAAAACAGCCTTTAACAAAAAAAATAAATTATCAATAAATATTACATTAACAAAAAATGTGTATTTTAAAATTTTTCACGAGGTTGAAAATATGAAAGTTTGGAGTCAAAATGCAAGTTGGAGGTTTTCGCTATAAATCGTTGCAAGTTCATGTCTTTTAATGGGATAGTGTAAGTTAAAGATTGGAACTTTTTTTCAAATTGGAAATTTTAGTGTGATTTATAAAATTTTATAAAAAATTTTAAAAAAAAATTTGGGCCAAAATTTTAAAAAATAATTTTAAATATATCTAATATAATAATACATAGATTAACTTTTTATTATATCTATTATATTTAAAGTGTAAATAAAAATAATTTTTGAAAATGATAAATCCTAAATACTAAAATCTAAACTGTATAATCATAAAAATATATTCATTTGACTATATACTAATTTTAATAAGTATTTATTGTAAGTATAGTTGTTAGTTGTCAAAAAATAGAAGTGTTAGTTGGTTGATTTTGAATTGTTTTGTCAAATTTTTAAAAATCTCATACAAAAAATTTAAAATATTCAAAAGAATTTAGAATTACCCAACTAGCATTTCTTTATTTATTAATGATAACTAACAACTATATTTACAATAAATACTTATTAAATTAATATACAATCAAACGCATATATTTTTTTGATTATCATAGAGTTTAGATTTTGATATTTCGGATTTATCATTATAAAAATTATTTTGAATTTACACTTTAAAAATACTAGTTATAATAAATGTTAATATATGTATTGTTATATTAAAATATTATTAAAATAATTTTTTAATCTTGCTTCTAACAGAAAAAAGAAGAAGCTATTTTTAGATCTAGTATGAGGTTTGAAAAATTAAAGCCTGAGGTCAAAGGGAAGTGTTGGTTGGACAATTAACTAAAACGTGATTAATATAGTTTTGACTAAAAATATGCACAATTTTAGTATTTTCAAATTATATTTATACAAATACTATAGATTCTTAGATTTATTATGAGATAAAATATTTACCTTATTCATCAGTAATTTAGATCGCAATTGGATGTTTAAAAAAAATTAACGATTTTTTAGATATATATTGTTTTAGATTACAACAAGATTTTAGTATATATTTCTAAGTTAACAAATTTCTTTCCTATTTGGATAAAATTTGTATGAATTGAGTTCTACATACATATATATCACATAACTGTGTCGAAATTATTTTTTGTCGGTCCAATCTTCATTTCTGATAAAATTTAGAACATAAACGAGATCGAAGATGAGAGTTGCGGTTATTGGAGGAGGGACAAGTGGATTGGGAGCTGCACATGTTCTTGCAAGAGATGGAGTCGAAGTCGTGTTGTACGAGAAAGAGGAAAACCTGGGAGGCCATGCTAAAACGGTGCGTTTCGATGGAGTTGACGTGGACATCGGCTTCATGGTCTTCAATCGCGTACGTGGAATTCCCATGCAGAGGAAATCAAACAATAACTTCTGCATGTTTGTTTTTCTATGAATTCAGGAGAAAAACCCTTCTTTGATTCTACATGAATGATTTAATAGGTAATGTACCCGAACATGATGGAGTTCTTCGAGGATCTTGGAGTGGACATGGAGGTTTCAGACGCATCTTTCTCAGTGAGCCTTGATAGTGGGAGAGGAATTGAATGGGGAAGCCGAAATGGCCTCTCGAGCTTGTTTGCTCAGAAGAGTAACGTTTTGAATCCCCATTTCTGGCAAATGATCAGAGAAATGGTCAAGTTTAAAGATGATGTTCTGAGATACATTGAAGCTCTTGAGAGCAACCCTAATCTTGATCGTACCGAGACGTTGGGCCAATTCATCAAGTCTCATGGCTATTCCGAGTTGTTTCAAAAAGCTTATGTGGTGAGAATTTTGACGCCTTTTTCATTCGTTCTTGGCTGATTTGATCCAGTTTTTCTTGCAATTTATTGAACGATAGGGAGATTGGATGATGTTTTGGGACAGGTACCGATGTGTTGTTCGATATGGTCATGCCCTTATGATCGTGTCTTGAGCTCCTCGGCATTCACTGTTCTTTATTTCTGTCGCGACCATCACTTGCTTCAGGTTCGCGTTAAACCTAAGATATATTATACTTCCATTCATACGATTTTATCGATGCATCTTTACTTGATCTGTCATTTCAGCTATTTGGAAGGCCACAGTTGCTTACCGTTGCAGGGCATTCGCATACTTATGTGGC